ATTTCAAAATGGTTCGAGTGTGCATAAGATAATATGCATAGAAAAGATTTCCATAAGATTTTATCGAAATTTTTGGATGATTGCAGTCAACCCTTCGCAATTGTATTCTTAATTTATTACTCGGAGAGAAATATTCAAGAAAAATTACGAAAGCTTTCATCTAATCCGCAAATGAGAATGATTTCAGGTAAATTATTATACAAATGTAAGAAAAAAATCTGAAACGTTCAGTGAATTTTCGGGACTGTCAAAAAAAAGTAGGAAAAAGTTAAATAATTTTTCTGGAAACTGTAAGTCTAACGGAGATTTCACGAACCATTATCTTCAAGAATTTTCCCGTAACATTCCGCCAATTGTTTTTTGCGAGTAATTTTTAATAAACTTTTCTCTCTGTGTAGTATAAGTTTACAATATTTATCCAAGCTCACTGAAAAGTTCGTAAGAATTCGCGAAGACGAGAGATTGATGAATTAGCGAGTTGTTTGAATTTTTCGCTGAAAATCAAGCTGGAAATTTCCAAGACGAAAGTCTTGGTCTAATTAAAACCCATGTACCTTATGATAATCAGTGGTGAATAAATGCCCCGTGTTGTACCCCCGCGAAAAACAAGAAGATGGCTGGAGATTACTAATTGGACGTTGGTTGCGGGTTTCGGTGGTTATCTCGCGCTGAGAATCTCAGAAGAACGAGAGTGCACCCGAATATAATAAAAACTCGAGCGCGAATTCCCAAAAATAAAAGGAGCAATTCGAGAAGCCGTCCATTTGTTCTCGAGCTCCGGCCACGTCCGATCACGCGTAGTTATGATAAAATATTGACAAACTTTAGTAGATACCGTTGAAAATATTCAGCCCAAAAAAAAACACCCCTACCTCTTTCTTTATTTTTTTTTTACAATTCTCACTCGAATGTTGGTGAGTGCCTTTGCGAGAACAATGGGCCACAAATCACCGAGACTTGGGACTCTCCAATGCTAAATCTCAACGGACTCCAGACTAACCGGTGCATACGGGCATTCTAATAACAGATGGACCACAAAGTGGCTCGAACGATTTTTTATTTCCCCCCCTCCATCCTCCCTATCTACTGTAAAATTTACAACGAAATGCCGTTTCAATGGGGTGTGTACTCTTAAATGAAGTTGAATTGATTTGAATTGAATTTATTGGCTCGAGACGTTGCGAAAAAAAATGGTTTTGCTCCCGAGGACTCATCCTTAATTTTTACAAATTCCTGACATTGACATGTGTTAATCTAAATTACGGATTTTTTCACGGAATTAAGTGCAATAATTCGGATATACCGGGCCAGCATTGTTCGTTAATTAAATTGAATTCTGGGAGGACTCAAAGACCAAGCCCCCTGGGGGAGTGACCTATGAGTTTTAGGTGAGGAAAGTGATTTTTCATTAATATCGAATTTTTTAATCGAAAAACTGTTGATTTCGTGTATAATCACCTCCTGGCGAATATTAGACTAACATTTATAAATTATCGTGAAAAAACGGAATTTTTGAAAAAATAAAACAATAAAAAAATGGCTGGATAAAATCGATTTTTATTGACAGCGAAAGATGGGTCCAATGAGACGTACGTTTGAGGAAAAAAGATTCAATTAGGTAAAGATGAGGGTAAGCAATCAAGAAAATGAATCGAAAAAATATATACTGAGTTGATATATGACAAAAAATGGTAAAGTTAAATTCGAGCGATTGCAAAGCTTCCATTCGGAAGCAAAAATGTAGAATCCAAAGCATCATCTGGCTCTATCTTTGAATTATATTAATTGTGAAAAATGAAGTGCCAAATCGTAATGAAAAATTCTAAAAATTGATTAATTTTTTTCTCCGCGGAAAGTACGATACATTGCTGCAGCAGTCTCTCCAATTTCCCGTGATCTTCAGACATATTTTACAACGGTAAAAAAATAAAAGTAAATGCAGTTATCGGTGGCAAAGAGAAGAAGGGAATTTCGATAAAAATGAAATATTGGATGGTGTCGCTGAAGCTGGTGCTTTTTGTTGTGCAGTAAGGTCATTAAACGTAACGATAACACCCTGTAAAATATACTTCGATTTGTTGGTAAAGTGTAGTAACACTCGAGTATCATTGGAGAAATCCCCTCAGTCGGATGGATAGTTGGCTCGAGGTGTTTTTCGCACATCAGTAACGATCCAATTTGTGAGAAGCTAGAAAATACGTCAGACAGATGCTATTATTTTTCTTCTTACGGAGGCGAGAATATACGGCGTATGAATTTCTTCCTTTGCCCTTTTTTTTTTAAAGAGAATGAGTCAACTTTATGACCCAGTGGTTTACGTGGTGGAAAATAGACGTCTTACCGTGGATATCATCATGAGAATCACATTTTAAATTATCCGGAATTGCCCGGAAGGTCCGCGGTATCACGAGAATTACCCGGTAATAGGACATGGTAATCTTGATCCTTTTTACCACGAGTGGAGTAAGTAAAGAGATGCTCGTAGGTATTTCTGATTTTACAAGGGGGTTATGTGGCACGTGCGAACGACGATGAGACGTGTTGAGGGTAACGGCAGCTCGTGTTCCATTGTAGGTGAACCAATCGGGGCTTTTTGTGGATATTCATTGCTCTCTCATGTTTCATGCAATTACGTGTTCATTCTTTCACTTGAGGCCCCTCATTCCTCAAAAATTCTCCCAATTCTCTATTTATCCCCAAAGAAACGTTCAAAGTTCAAGAATTTTTTCAAATTTTGATTTTCTTTTCTTGCCAGGCGAATTTATTATGAATTTTTTATGAAAAACTCATTGCATATCCAGGAAAAATTCTCCTCAAATCCCATCCGGTGCTAATCATTAATATTTCTAGAAAATCTCCATCTGAGAATTTTTTCCAGAATAAATGAAGAATTACTCATTCATTACACAGCGTATAGTTATTTTTGTTAATAAACTGCAATTTGAAATTTGAAAGAAGATTGCAATAAGAAGAAATTTCAATCATAAACTAATAGATTAGAGAATTTATTATTATTCATTATTATTATTATAGCTATGGTCAGTATTTAATTAAATTCTGTTGAAGTAGAATATCCCGCGACAGGCTGAGAATTCAAATACTTCCGAAGTACGAATTTTGGATAATCTTTCTTATATATCGATTAGGATTTTCAGACTTTTAGGGGTTTAATGAATCGCCAGAACACGATAAAATACAAAAGAAATTTCGAAAACAATTGCAGAATTAATACGAATATAAATTTCCGCGTGTATTTCATAGAATAGATAATTGACTGTTGGAATATAGCCTCAGTCTTCTATGAATTGATTTTTATGAGTCTATAGTTTCAAAAATGAATCAACATAGAGAGAGATGTTAGGATTAAAACATAAAGATACGCACTGAGGTCCTGTGGCAAAGGTACTGGGGATCCTTTGTCTCGTGATGACGATTTTTCTTTTGGTCTCGTTGACCACATTTAGTCTGCTGAGGCAGGTCATAGAGAACATACATTTCTTCCTCGTGCCATTTTTAATAAGTTAAAATTAACGTAGCTAATCCACTGTTTTTAAATTATTTCTCTGCCCCCCCACTATATTCCATTATTGACTTTTTCCGATGGCGTTTTAAAATGATTTGATTAATACCCCACAGTGGCCCATCAATTCGAAACAAATAACCTTTTACAGCACCATGAAATATCTTGCTTGTCTTCCAACAATGGCCTCGCCCTGACAACAGTAGGGTGTGCTAAAGTACAGATTTTATCGTCGAGCCTGTAAAAATCACATATTGGTTGTCATACGTTCGAGTGCAGAGCAGCAGCTCAGAAAAAATATTCATTAATCCAGCTCTTGAAATTAAAACAAAAATTCTTCTCAACAGATAATAACTAAAAATCCGTAAAACATAGATTTCTTCAATCCGCCTTTATAAAATCCCAAGTGATAAATCAGAGAGACTAACGCCCTGTATGTTTCGTAATCTATTAATATTTCACTTTTCATTCCAACAAAATGGAATAAATCGCGAAGGAGGCTGTTGCAGCGTTGTTCACACTATTCGCCTCGTTTTTACGATGAAATATATATCGGTGCTGTTGGCTTGGATACTAGAGTGTTCTTGAGTCTTATTTCTTTTTCCAAAGCAATACAAATGGAGTCGAGTGTGTTTTTTAATCATCTGGAGGTGTGGAAATACTGGAAATCTCTAAATTTCTGGGCAAAGGGAATGCAATCTTCTTCTTCACTGAGTTATTTCCTAAATATGGTGGAATTTCTCGGTGTTATCTTTTGGTGGGACCCTCTGGGAATACTCAGTCGAATAGTTATGGTCTGGGGTATCGTAACGATAGTTTGATGGGAGAATCCGTAGTGGTGCCGTATTGGTCTCCATTGTGGCTTTTGCGACGATGTGGCTTTACAATAGAATCAGTTTGACGCATTCCAGGGTGGGGAAGGGGAAGGGGGAAGGGGGGAAGGGAAAAGGGGGAAGGGGGATCGTTAATTTTGCGGCTTCTGGATGATAATGGTCCCGCAGGTGGATATCATGATGCAGAGTTAAACGCAATTGCACTAATAAACCATTATGCTGGGACATGAGTCCATTTCGCTGGGTGGATTGTAATGACTCATACATCTCAGGTGAATCTCAATTAGGAATTTCATGTCAAGATTCTAATTGATCAAGTTCTGACTATATTTATTACATCTTAACGTTTAAAAAATCAAAATGATTTTATTTTAATTGAGGATATGACATCATTATTTCATGAAAATGTAATACAGTTTTTTAATATTTTGGTTATTTGCAATTATACTTTCAATTAATTAGAATCGGCTGAGTATTAGAGAAATTTGTATAAATCATTTTATTTTAATTGGAAAACATAATAATTTTCGGGAAATATCACAAAGACGTTTGGTTTAATTTTTTTTTTTCATTTCTGCGGGTTGAATGATTTAGAATATCGTGGGACAGGAGAATATTTTGAAAACGGATATTTTCTTTGATTTCAGGAGTAACACGAATATGGAAAGTGTGCCGGTAATGCCAGCGCCGAAAATCGAACACCAGGGAAATATCGATAAGATTGCCAAGAGGTACCTCGATGATAACATGCAACAGGCCTGGATCAATCCCCGTCTAATATCCATGGTGAGTAATTATCAATGACAAGTTATAATTTCATCCATCTCTAATAACTGCAAGTTCTAATAACTAGCCTTGGTTTTTCCCGTGAAATAAATTCAGGCTAACGATTACTAATAATAAAAATAAACGATCCAAGGAAATGAGACACTAGTCTTAAGTTTTAATAAGCGCCCCTTTATTCGCTTCATTAGCGAAGTACAAAAGTAGCTAAATAATTAAGTCGAAGCGGGTGAGAATAAAACAATGGGGCATTCTGATATGGCATTGTCCAGGTTCTGAGTGAAGTCATGGTTATCGTAAGTTAATTATTACTCATTGTTTTAGATATACAGGTCTTTGTTTTTATTCAATTTCTCGTGGTCTTTATAACCTACAGCAGTAGAGATTTTTTTTCCTTCACTTTCATTGCTGGGGAGGTAGATACGCTGACAAAGAAATTTTCTGTGATTTATAATACACATTCACGGTGCCGTCATCCAAGGGGGGTTACCACAATATGACCAACGGTATAATGTCGTTGGGAGTTTAGATTTTTCTCGGCTTCAACTGTGTTTCATCCTGTCAACCCTCTAGACATGCCAGTTGTGCTGAATGGGCTCTTCGCTGGGGTTCTCCACCCAATTGTCTTTTTGAGAAAGTTGATTTTAGTCGAGGGGTGTTAATAGAAAACGGTTCATCATTTTATTGAGTCCATCTTTAACGCAATACGTGAAAGTTAAGAGAAACAACTCCGAAACCTCTCGTTTTTATCAATGATTAATTCTATCAATTAAACATGTAATGAATATATCGTTTAAAAATATGCATTTAACGAATAGTGGCACCATCTTTAGCTCAGCTTAGCTTATGAAAATTATTTAAATTTTTTCAATATACATATATATTTCAATATATATATTCATGTACGCTTTTCCATTTTATAATGATAATGTATAGCTAATATATTGAGCTTAGTCAATAAAATTTTCTTTGAATATTTAAGTAAAAAATACAAGAAAGAAATGTGGAAATTAAAAAAAAATTCAATGTATTAGTTACGTACTTTCATTATAGAATGAAAAAATATACCTGAGAACTATATTGAATATATAATCATAGATTTCATTACTCTAATATATTTTTTTTGCAAATGCCAGTAATAGAAAAATATTGCAAAAATGTACATTCCCTGCACAAAAATTGCAATTTATATCTCTTCTATATAAATTGAGAAAATTGAAAATTGATTCACGATTCTATCTCATTTTGATTTATTTAACGAGAATGAATTTTCTGTGTATTAATATTCTTTCAATATATTTATTTACCCGTGGAGGAATGCGCCATTGATATAAAGCAGTCGCGCATTATTTTATATTTCTGCTAGCCCATCATTAATATCATGTAGAATTACATTTCCCTCAGATTATCCAGGACAAAAAAAAGATATAGAGTTGAACGGGTGGGTAGCTCCGGGAAAATGTGCAATTCTTCCGCCAATTTACGATAAACCGCAGTGGTTTTTACGCTTACAAAATATCGCTGATATAGCCGAGGAAAAAAAGTGTGTTAAGTCAAGCGAGGGCTAGCGTTCGCCGAGTCGAAATACAAGATAAGGATATTAAAGATGAGGAGGAGGAAGTGAAGAATAAAAGGGACAAGGTTGAATTAAAAACGCCTCACGACCTCCCACGAATATTTTTTCCACCCCCCCAGAATTTATGAATACATTATTTAATTCGAGATTCGTGGATCTCGACTATTACATACAGAAGCAAATGCGAGAGGGAAGGGGCCTGGCGTGAAAATGCGCGATAATTAAAAACGTCTTGAAGACTACTGGTTAATGAAATACATGGTTTTAAAAATTCCATTAAAACATGTCGCCCTGGAAATGGCTTTTATTCCACTTTCGAGGGCCTTTCATTAATTTTACACGCTGAAGTTTCTTTATTCAAGCGTAAAATTGATATTACGAGAAATACTTCTTCCAATTCAGTATCCCATATTTATTATTTCCATTAAAACATGAAAGTAAATCATAGTCAGAAGTTTGAAAGAAGTACTTTTCTTCCAACCGGAAATCACGACAGTAATTTCGACCCTTTGGAGTTGAAAAAAAAAAGGGAGGAAGAGGGAGTGGAAAGACCTGGGGGGTGCACTGGCCCTCGGAGTTTCAAGTTTTAAAATGCCGTTGGATCGTAACATTTGAGACCCCACTTTCACACGGAATCATCGGTGACAGCCAGTCCGCCCTCCTCCACCCACAAAGATTCGGATCATTTGCTAAAGTGCTACTTTGTGTCGCATAAAATGAAAGACTGAGCGTCTTTCACGCGACACTCCCTCCACTATATATTTTTTTCTCAATGCGAAAGTAAAACCGAGTTTTTACTCATCCGTCGCAAATACTAGACATCCGATATCAAGATATCATTCCGCTATCACCATAATTTCCATGCGACTCTCTTAAACAGCACTGGAGAGTTTGAATTACATTTGCGACTCATCACGATGAAATATGACATGACTTTCCGTACAAATGAAGCTAAAAAAATATCCGAGTCATTTCATTTCTCTGACACGCGTGATCATTAGAGTCGGAGTAATATCCACTGACTGTAGAAAAAACTTGATGAAGAAGATTTATCTGGTACAAACATGAATTTCTCCATTTTTCAAGTCAGAGCTCTTCAACTATTTTCGTTCTACTATTTGGTTACATGTCTAAATATTATTTGTCAAAATATTACGCCAGAATATTAACATTAAAACATTAAACCATTATTACATATTCAGTACATATTCATACTGTCATGAGTAACAAAAATTCTTTGCAAAATTATTATAATACACCAACGTATAAAATCTTACAAACTTTTTTAATATCTTCTATATTATTATTCATAATTATTACTATTGATTAATTAATATGTGAGAAGCAAGGCGTTGAGTCTTATGAATTATCAAACTTGCAAAAATTATGAAAAAAGAAACTAAGTGAAATGCAATAACAAAAACGTTCGTAAACATTTTCAGATGAATTATATTAATATTAAAATGATGACGCATGTTATGCAAATCTTATTGTCATGAGTAATGTTTTAATGAGAATATTATACTTGCCGTAATATAAAAATATAAATATATAAACGTAAAAGATATAAATAAAATAAATAATACCGTATTATTTATAAAAAAATGTTAGAATGGTATTAATAGGAGAATACTTTTTTATATCGATAAAATTTTACTGAAAAGTAGTTTTTCGTCTCAGTGTCGAATCCAAATGCCACCCGCGGAGTTGAAGAAAATACGGTCGCGACAAAAGGCTGATTGATAGTCCTGTTGAGAAAACTTTGTCCCAACGAGTAATGCCCTTTCGCCTTCTATTATCCTTTTTCCTCCAATAAACCGTCGCATTTCTTTTCCATCGCTGGTGGGGGATTATCAATTAATTCTCCCCCTCAATTAATCACCGACGACATCTAAATTTCATTTAACCCTTTCCACTGAAATATTTATAATGGTATCTAACTGTTGGCCCTCAAGATTTCTACAAGCCACACTGTATTATTGATATTCGATTGAACAGCGAGAGGCACCCCTCGGTGTATGAATAATTTTCACTCCTCTCAACCCCACCATTTCAAAGATCGATTGACTGAAATTGAATATTCTCACTGAGAAAATCGTTGTTTTAAAATTCACGTCATCAATTCTCGTCACTCTTCATTACCGCCCGGGGTACAAATAAATCTTGAGGCTGTGAATTTATTTCATTTTTTTTTTGTCACTCCCCTCGCCACCGAGATATTTAATCACTTCGGTAAATTCCAGCGGTGAATTCCCGTTGCTTTCCCCAAACACTTGAGCATATTGTATATATGGAGTATTATGAGCGTAGGGTGATGGCTGATTGAAAAGTTAGTGCTTCCCCAATCGAGATGAGTCCGTGGAATTAAATCACAGTCACGGAAGTGAAGATCGAGGGGGAGGTTTTGGGGCAAAGGATTCCGGGCTTTTCAGAATTATTGGTGAGGGGTTGTTGAGAAGTTGGGGGTCGTGGCTCGTTGAGATTGTTGCGGCGTTTGTCACTCGGTCCATTAGACGGCATTTGGCTCGTTTCCGTTAGAAGGAGCTCAGACTAACTGCGAATCGTTTGAATCCAAGGCGCCATTTCATTCTTCGGCATGACGTCTACATTTTTACGCTTGAAATCATTTTTTTTTCCTCTTCTAGAACTATTTCTCCCCCAAAGCGCTACATCTTTCTATTTTCTGTTCTATAGATTATTTCTATTGGCTGAAGATCCTTAGTCCATAGTCTTTTGCAATGAATTCTTTTTAAATAAAGTTCAAGTATTTTTTTTTGTTCAACTGAGTTCGCAATTGAACTGCATAAAATTAATTGAATGGATAGATATTCATTTATTCATCCATTTCCTATTTTTTTACGAGTATTTATTATTCTTTAGAGAACAAGAAAAAATATTAAATTTTAACATTATTTTGTATTTGTTGGCTAGTGACAGCTTTTGGTTAGTCATTTTTATCCGAGGGATTATTCATGGTTTAATATCATGACACAATGATTTCTGATTTCATGTGATTTCAAAGTGATTTAATTTCAGAGTGACACAGTGATTTTATCAAAGAATAACCCCTCGCATTTGCCTCACTTTTACAAGAGGCCCAAATTGAAAATTACAACAACTCGGCCATTACTATTACTACATTACTATTTAACATTTTATTACTATAATATCTATGAATGCTCAGTATTTAAATTATACATAAGATGTAAAAGTTATTTAATTAATTACTATACTGAGTCTAAAGAGTATTAGCGAATATTAACAATAGCGAGAATGGAATAAGAAATAATCCTTTAATTGCGTGCGTTGTAGTTAAATTAACTGAATTTTAGAATGAGTATTACGAAAAATCTTGGAACAGATATTTCAGTGAAAATAGTGGAATGCCATTGGCAAGGGGCGCAACTTTGCCGATTTTTTCTTCAAGAATTGATGAAAAATAACGACCGCCATGTATCCTGGAGTGTCTTGTTATAATTTATGCGTTATTTTTCTCTCTCATTATCAACGAAACAGTAGTACCTCCCACATTTAGCCGTGTCGCTGTGGCTCACGCATGTTACCTCAGTATAATGCCAGTGAAACAGCAGGTGGTTCACTCATTTTTCTTTTTTCACTTGCCCTCTCCACTCGAGTCTGTAAAAAGCCCTCCCACCCTCCCACCCTCCCCCAGAATGTCAGGAGGGAATGAAAAGCCATCGCATCCTCCTGACTCACATAAAGAAGTCGAGATTTCTTGCAGTCATTTAAGAAAAAAAAAAAGGTGGACAAATTAAAAAACTCAAATAGCGAAAGTGGAATAAAAAAAAGTGACATTGTAACACGGTAAATTCATGGCTGAGGGAATTCCGGAGAGTGCTGAGGCGTATTGGAGTGTGTAGCTGTCGTTAGAAGAAATAATGAGAAGTACCCACTTTCCGGGTTTTATTTGTCAGTTTGATGGCAAAATTCTGCAGACACGGAAATTTCATCGCCATGATTTTTACTTCCTCCAGACAATTTTCTTCTTTCTTTTTTTATCTCGCTCCTCGTGACATTTGGGGAACATCGAGGGGCAGAATATTCCGTAAAGATTGTACCCGCCTTTTCAGCGTAACGTCATTTGGTAGTTGGTTTGATACTGACCTCCACCAACGAGGGGAACCAACCACATTTCCAACGATGTGGAAGTGTGTAAAAAAAAGTTACCACTGAGCTCGTCATTGTCCGATAAATAGATCACAATGGAGAAATGGATTCTGTGTGATTAAATACAAACAGTTGAAAGCCTCTTCTCAATTACTTATCCATCTTGGCTTCGTTGAAAATCTAATTACTCGGTTACTGCAGAAGAGTTGAGAAATGGTGATGAAAAATGAAGGTTATCCAGTCGTTGAGGGGGGGAAAATAGAAGTATTGAGGAAAAATGGCGGGTGGGTAAAAAAAATTTTACTCGTTAAAATACAATTAAAGTTACGGAGGGCAGGAGCTTGCCGTTACAGCATCTGATTTATGAGGTATACCGGTGTATAATGGATTTCTTCAGTTAATAGTTTTTCGACGAGTTTTAATATATTCCTTCCGGATGTATCCCCCCAGCATTGAATGTCTGTATCATTCTGTCGCACTGAACCAGTCAGTGTCACACTAGATTTTGCTCGTCTTTGATAAAACGAAAAAAATAAGAAGAGAAAAATGTAATTTCGACGAAAGTCATTACCAACTCGTCGGAATTAATATTGGATGCATCAATCTTCTCTCATTGCGACTGAAGTCCTCACCGCACTCCCTCCACCACGTGTATAATACTTGAAAAGAAAAATTTTAATTACAATGCAATTTTCTTTGCGGCGTTGACGCCTTTGAAATGCTGTTAAGGTTCCACTCGAATACATGAAGCAATCGTGTCCTCGAGCCTAGAGAAGTTTCTCTCTTGTCCTCCCCCTGGAGCGGAGCTTTTGGTCGTTTTGATCCGTCAAGATTAAAGAGACCAGCGCAGGCGCAACCACTTGGGCTCCACATCCCCATATTCGTCATCACGATGAATATATTATTTTTTTTCTCTCCTCTTCTCTCCATGTAGTCTCAGCGTGAAACTCCCGCAGGATTGCATTGGGATTGCAAGGACAATTCCGTGGATTCGACGATATTGCACTTCTTTGTTTTCCCAAGTCAGCCACAATCTTTGACGAATGACGGGAGAACTGGCGGCAGCCGATCATTTCTTCCTATTGCGATGAGAAAAAAAAAATGAAACCAGAGGGTTTTGCGATTTTTTTCAGCCATCAGCAAGTTGCCAATTCACAACTTCTTCAGTGCTATTACACTGTAAAAAATATCCCACTCAGTGTTTTAGAAAAGTTTAACTCGTGAAAAATAAAAAAAAATAAATAGGCTAAAATAAAAGTAGAGAGATAACCACTTCTATCGGTGGACTGGGTAAATTCCCAGTCTCACCAGTTTCTCTACAGCCTCCACTTTTCTACGATTTTCCCTGGCCGGCCACTTCTTGAGAGTCCACTTACTCCCCGGGTGAAGAGAAAAACTTTGCTCTTTGCGATGATCGGTGGAGGAGCTTTCTCATTCGTGAGATGACGTCGAAAATCGTCACATCATCTTCCACCCACCACCTCATTCACCATCATCCCTCACCATTCGTCCGTCTATCGTAACAATGAATCACTATTATTGCTCGCTGGTTAACACATGAGCCCAGTGATATTTTAATTTAAAATTTCAAATAGGGTTGGAATGAATGAATGACACCGATATTTCACCCGTCAACAATTTCACCCCTCTTGGGGATGAATGTCACGTGTGCAGGGTGCGAATGTAATCGTGCACCAGGTGTCTCGTAGGTCTCTCCTAACGAAGGCTATTTCTCGTGCTGTTACACGACTGGGGTTTTGTCAGATGTACACAGTCTTTGGATCTTTGGATTTCACTCTTTTTCAGGGTGAAATCTCTTAACGAGAATTGAGCAACGTTGACGAAAGTTTTCTCGTTAAATTGTTTGCCAAGATTCAATCATGTAAAATCTCCAAGCAATTCATCCAATATTTTACACCAAAAATTTTCAAACAATTCTATAGAAATTCTTCTCTTCACGAAGAGGCATATTTCATTGGGTTTGCGAGTTTATACGAGATAATACCTTGCAACGCATCGTTGCTCCATTTCCATACAACAACGCAAAGTACCTATCTTTCGTTAATGATGTTGTCAAGGAGAAGCCAGATGTAATACTGCTTTGACGTAGAATCAGACGTATTGTGTATATATCGTGCTGGGTATGATTTTGATAACGAGCTTATGCCAAATTCTCCGGGCAGCTTCCACGATGCTCAACGCTAATTGATGTCAATCCGTGGTGCATGAATAGAGGCCATTGTGACGAGGGATTTTCGTGTACCTGTCTACCTTTCATGGATTCTGGCGGTTTTTTTTTATGGTGGACATTAAAAAAGCATTTAAAAACGTTTTTATGAATTCAACGATCAAGTGTACATGCAAATTTGCCGTCAAAAAGCTTCACGTCGTTAATGACACCAAAATGCAAATCCGGTCTGTATTTACCCAGAGGATTGTCGTCTTATCCAGGGTTTCCCTACGCACCGACCATTACTCCTACTCTCTCTTTTTTAACCCCCTCCCTGTATTCTCTATCTTCCATCCCTTTCATGTTGCTTTTGTTTGTCCAACCAGCTTGTTATTTCATTCGGTGTGTTTCACCGATTTTTATAGTACTCCAGTGCAGTAAAGAAAGAGGCAAACGTCTACCTCGTCATGTAGAATTTATCCAACAGACAGAATTCAAGTCGGGTAAAACTTGACGCTATATACAAGCCAAACATACGGTCTAGAAGATAAGAGTGTCCATCGGGAGCCTGCCAAGGATAACAAAGGGTTTTAAAAGGTCCTTCAGGCCAGCAGCCACTGCTTTTTCGTCTTGTCGCCTTTTTCGTCCCATGTGTCTCTTCTAAACTCCAGGGTTCAACTGTATTCTCTCCCTTCCTCGACAACATTCTTTTCGGGACTTACTTCCTCGGGGGCACTTGTCAATCCAAAGTGTTTCTGCTCTTGACAAAAATGCAAAAAACTTGGCGAGCCTGTGAAGGGCATGGTAGGCTTCTATCATTCGTATAAACTTTAAATTTACCTCAAGATTTGAAAAAACAATAATCATTGATTGTCTTGGCCACTGGTGAATGCGCCAGAATATATAATATTATATGAATATATAATACCTGCAATTCCTAATTCATGATTTGTCTTTCGAGAGCAATTGCTTTGTTATTCCCACCTCCAATGTACTCACAAGCTACTTCGAAACTTCCTCAAAGACGAGTTAGACTGGCAGTTTGTCCCAAAATTACCATACATTCCGATTATCATGGGAATGAATCCGTTAAAAAGAAAATGAAGAAATCTCGTATATATAAATTACCCCGAAATAACACGAGTGCATCGTGAGTGTACTCGACGATTTCCCCAGTGAAATTGGGTACTTTTGGATTGCATCGGCGAGTGAGAAAATTGTGCGAGTCGGTGATGATCGGGCGGGGAAAAAAACACAGAGGGAAAAAAAAAGGATTGAGAGACCAGAGGGACCCAATGGTGCATCGTGAAAGCCATTCGGGTATCATAAATCGGTGAGCCCGGAGGTTCACGTGAGGTGTGAACCGGTTCCTAACGCAGTTTTGACGTTGTACCGAGGGACGAAGGGATATGAGGTAAAACGATGAGGAGGTTATCGTGAGCCCAGAAGGCACCATTCGCCTCCTCACCTTTATGGGATTTTCGTCGTCTCGTCTTATTCCATCGGTTCTTCGGTTTAAACCTATTTCGCTTCTTATCTTACACGTGTACATTATTAATTTTTCCCTCAGACGCTTCCATCATTCTCATCCTTTATCAATATTCATGATCATCAATAACTGAGATGAAATACAGGATGAACATTGTGAAAAGTTAGATTTAGAGTAATAGTCATCTGTCTGCTTGTTCCTTTTCAGATTAACATGGAGGCTGTCACATCCACAGATTACGACACATCCGATCTGACTCGTAGCTTCAATCAGATGGGTTTCAGCACTTATAATTATCTCCAGTTTGAGGAGAAATACAAATCTCGTCAGTACTTGGAGTATCAGCGAAATCCAATCAAGCCTGGATTCACCGGCAGAACATTCTCCCGACATTCTAACGATAGAAATGATAAAATTGACCAAAGCTATCCGAGAAGTCATTCACAACCTGAAAAACCACATCATTTGGCGTATGAGGCACGTTCTAGATCGCAGGATTGCCGTGAACAGATGTATTACCAGCCTGATGGCACTGGTAAATCAGAGAGTAGACATACCAAGTGTCACCGCACAGGTAATCACGATAATGCACCAAATGTTGTGTTGGAGAAGAAGGAACCGAAATTGGCTGGCGCGGAGAAAAGTGAGAAGCGAGATAAATCGTGTGTCTCCGTTCACACCAAACATAATCATGTCAGACAGGAGCAAAAGATTAATGGACAGGGCAATCAGTTGAGCAAGCCCGAGTCAGTGGAGTGTCACTTACCGGGCCATCAGAGGGCTGATGATCCACCAAAGTATCGGCCCCTTGACAGACCACCGAAGTATCAGGAGGATGCACCCAGGACTGAACCACCACCCAAGTATTGTGAGGTCACTAAGCGCCAGGAGGATGGTAAAAAGTCTCAGGTGAGATATCATTCTTCTTTTTTTTAATCATCACATGGAATCATTCCAATCTTTCTCTGTCCGATTTTAGTAGACCAACTAAATCTTTAAGAAGAATCTCTTATTCATCTTGAATTTAAATAAAAAATATTACATCCAATTAATTACAATTTTGTTATAGGGTTTCCTTATCTTATGCCCCCAGAAAAGTTTATCCCTTGAAAAGTTTCCCTTGAAATTTCTTATTTTTTATTTTTTAAAGTTGCATGGAATTTCTGTACAATTCTTTTTTTACGAATCTGTTAATTTCTTAAATATTGTTGCAATTCTCTATTTTCTGGAGCACATGGCAGTGAAAAATGGCGAAACAGTCAAAAATTCAGCGTATGATTTCCCTGATTTTTCAATCTATTAAAAATTTAATTGTACCTGATGTTGAAATTTTACGATGAACATGAAAAATTCAAGCCTTCATCGAAAAATCAATTCCCACTCAACATAAACATTCCAATCGTCTTAAATCTTCAAAATATAAATAAGAAATATAAAGAACCTGAAATTTCACTCAATTTTTAACTCTGTATTATCTCATGTCCGCAATAATATTTACTAAACTTCGATAACATTTACGTGCAATAACTGCTGAAAAAAAATGAACCTCAGCATGAAGTGGTGCTGTCACTTGGATCTGCAACCAGACATCCGGAGTTGCATAAAAATCAAATGAAAATACATTTCAATGCTCCCAATTCATTGGATTCCCCCTGTAAAATAAGAAGAAGTGACCAAAAAAAAAAACAAAATAAAAAAAAAACAATAATTTTTATCACCACCAGGAGGAGAAGGTACGACGACAAGTGGTGACTAGGGGGGGTAGTGGTCTCGGTGGAGAGGCGCCGACTAATCTCACCAGTATCACGCCAGCCGCGCGAGAGTCAAGAGGGGTCTCTGTATCAAAACGCCCCAATCACAAACAAATCGACACCGAGACCAACGATGAACAGCAAGTCAAAATACCCCACCAACAATCGAGAATCAGTACCAATGCAAGTACATACGTAAGTGGTGGTGTAATTCTCGGTGTTAACAGCACAGTTTTGTGTCCAGAAGTGATGATCGGCTGTCCAGACACTAAATTAAAAGGTGTCGAGTCTTACCTCAAGTCGGACAAGCAAAAAACCGATAAGATCAAGTGCGATACGGGAAAGTTGGCGGATAAAATAAAATCGGTGCAGGACGCCATGTACAAGCCCCATGACGTAGGAAAAACAAAGGGCCCACACGAGCCTGGCATCAGCCACGTGGGGTACAAAGTTGACAATATAAAGTACTACGGTGAATTGAAGGGCTTTAAATCATACGGTGCTATTGACAAACCACATCAGTACGCATCCTCCGATAAAGGACACACGAGTCATGATAAATCTCATGCTAGATCTTCGAAGCAGTGTGAAAAGAGTGGTTATAGTGAAAAGTACAGTGAAAATTACTATCATCGTGCTGTCTACCTTAAATCACCCTCTCTGTATCCACCAAATGTTTTTCAAGAGAGCAAGTACGCTTACAGTGTCAGTGGAGTTCCTGGGACGCCGGCGCAGGCCAGTGCTGCTGCTGCATTCTTCGCAAGGTAGGATTTTCAAATTATCAGGGATGCCTATTTATCAGCACGTTGAAACGGTTTTGGATTTTGATTAGCCGGGCCGCGAGATAGCTATGATGGGCTGTTATGGTTTCTCTCTCTCTCTCTCTCTCTCACTCTCTCCTTTTTTTTTTCACTTAGGCGAGACTGGAAAAAATGGAGAAATGTAGAGGAGAAGATCAAAGAGAATTTCGGTGCAGCGTCTAGCTCCCCGGAGCTTTTTAGAATTCATAATCTGAGAAAGTGTGCGTTATGGAGTTGAAATGGCAGATATTAGTGGGTCTTTTGAGTTTTAGAATGATTAAGAGGGATCATTTGCCTGAGCTGCTTTAACGGAGTCATGCATTTACTCCGAGGGGGTGGTAAAAATTGTTGTTTTAATATCAGCCATTGCTCCATTCATTTAGATTTCAATGCAGGTGAAAATTCTTTGGTACGATCTCTGCATTGTCTTCATCAGTTTACTTCAATTATCTATTGTGTTTTGAGTACGTCTCTGGAATATTAAATGAACATTGAACAAATTGGCAATCTGCTATTGGCCTGTCTAGACGCTCAACAGGCGCCACTTAATGAGCCACTGCTATTTATTTCACCATAAAAATCTCTTTTATATTAAAACACAATAGAGAATTTGCAATACGACTTTTAATCGTACCGTCTGTTGAAGATTCAAGGTATTTTAAATTGCTTCCTGTCTCCAAAATGTACAAACTCTCGGGACAATATCCCCGATGGCTTTTTTTTCCGGATGATGTAAACGGGAGTGAAAAAAGGTAAAAACTGTTGGAGAAAAATCAGATGAAAAAACTTGTGACGCCCCCGGGGCAAATGTACATACACGAGTTGCATCGAGTAAAATTGACCCGGGTCTGAGCATTCGAAGACTTTGAAAAAAATAAAATAAAATAAAGAATGAGAAAGTGGATAGTATATAAGAGTAGGGTGAATTGAGGCGCGTGCGATCGAGCTCTCTCGGGCGAACAGCAGGCCATATTGTTGGTCTTGGTGATTTTATGCGTCTTTTATATTGCCTTCCGCACGCCGATCTTCCATATTCCAACCCGCCCCTGTTACGTTTCGTCTCCTCTCTTGGACCTCTTCCTTCTTATTTCACAAACCTTCTTCTACCTCTGTGAATGACTTTAACAGAGGGCTGACTGTTCCCTCCACAGAGAAAGACCTTCCCATGATTTTTCAGCGAAAAAGTCTCGATACTGGAGATATAATCTCGGAGGATGTTGGGGATAAAATTCTTCATTGCGTAGATAAGATTTTAGTGGTACTCATCGAAAAAATACGAAAATGCATAAATTTTTCTCGTTCTAATGCCCAGAATCTGCTCCGAACCAATAACATTTCACCCATTGAATTCTCCAATTTTCGTGTAGTCGAGAAAAAATACCCCATGAATTATTCATTCGGAGAGTTGAAGAGAAAAAAATAATCTCGAGTCATTCAGAGAATCTCGAAGGATCCTTGGAGCCATTAAATTTTGGGACTCACCCGCGGAAGTAATGAGCCCATCTTGTGGTGATAAAACCAGGCCAACTAAAATCTCTGCTGGAGCATTCATAACCCTCTTCTTCTGATTATGCATCCAGATTCTTCTCTGATTCCTGGGAATATCACAGGGGTTTCAGAATACAATACATATTTATCGTTGTGGGGGCAATCTTTGGAGTCTCCCTCGGTATATTATAACTCGGAAATCCTATTAGTGCCCGATTGATGGGAAACTCGGTGTCAATCACGCTCGAGATATTATTGATGAACATTAATCTAGATGACATATTCAGTATTGACAACATTGTTGCCCCTACCGTCCGAAATTTGATCCATCGTCCTCTCGATTCTCATTTTAACCGGTTTTAGTTTTCCTTCTTTAAAAAAAAATGTCACTCTGAGTCTGCTGACACTTGCAGCTCTCAAATCTCCCCAGTTTTTCGATTGAATAATACATGGGCTATTCCGTTTTAAAGCTCATGTTATTATTTTTAAAAGGCTCCTCGATTCATACACACAATAAAAATACTTGAATGAAGTATATTTCATACCTGCTTCAAGTATTTATTTTTTTCCGTGTACGTACATGCAAAAAGTTCTTCCGTATATTTGAAATATTTTTTAAAGTTATGCGAGACATTATTATATTTATATTTATTTCCCTCTGGAGAAAATCTGTCTCGTTCCCTTGGCTCTTTCCAATATTACATATCGAGCCAAGAAATTAATACCGAAATATGATCCTTATCGATTGGAGGAGACAGTCTGAATAGGTCAGCGAGGGTTGAACTCTTGGTTCAACAGGTAGCAATGGTATAGGGAGTCGACGAGCCCCAGCCCTCTTCATTATATTCATATCATGTAAATGCGCAAGCCAGCTGTAAGCACCCTCTCCCTACATCAGTCTAAGACAAGTTTAATAATATTGAATGACAAACTGGTTAGAAATAGTCTATCAAATGATCTTCGCGCTAATGAAATAATTAAAATAATTGGAATAATTGGGTCTATCATTTTGGCTTTTGCACGATTAATCACTTGATATTCAGCAACAGAATTGGACTGTTCGGGTGCTGATGCTGCTCGAACTAATTGAGACCATAAGCCGCTACCTAATTATCCCTCGGCAGTTAGAAGCAATTGGAAAGATCTCGCCACCGAGAAGTGTTAACCCGAGGTATTTTAACGAGTTTTTGAGCCAAATTAAAAATCGATAATGCCGGTTAATACCCCTGGTAGTAACACTTGATCTCACCTAAATGTAATTAAATGGAGCTCGTGGAGTTCACTTCGTACCATGCGTGTAATAATTAGCAATTACTGGGTACAGGGGAGATATTGGCTACCAGTAACTTTTCAATTTTATTCTTCAAGACTTTTTATATTCTTTTATCTTTTTTTCTCCTTTTCCACTGCTGGTGCATTCAATGACGCGTAAAGATGTTATCGAGAAGGCGGTGCGGATTAACTGGGCTTGATGCAAACGACATCAGTTATCGGTAATGAATGGTACCGCGGCGTTACATCGATAAACCTTTTCGATTCGAGAGTTATGATTTCTTTGAAATATCATTTCATTTCTGCCATAAAAATTGGCATTGAGACGTTCAACGGAATTGATGTCTGTCCAAATTCCCATATTCATTCTTTCAATGAATAATTTCTTTCTTCTGCTGAACATTGACTCAGAAAAAATTAGTTTCACGTTTCTATTGTGAACTAATAGTTTCAGGAATGAATGGATAATTGAAAATGATAAATTCGAGATGTCTGCCCTTTCCAGTTGGCTATTAAAATTCAGAGGGAATTTCTATAGAAGAGAGGCTAGTTGAAGTCCTTGGAGATCCCCGGGCTTGTCATAAATCTTGGAAAACTCATATTTACTAGTCCAGAACATACATCACTCTCAATGATGGTGGAGAATGACGTTTACAATGACCTAATTTTTTCAACACGTATACGGTTTCGATGGTGATCGCATGTCGAGAGGTTAAAGGGAGAGAGTGAAGCAACAGGATCATTAATTACTCCATATTATGTGGCACACCCGAGTGGTTGAAATCAATTGGAGGGAATCACTCATCAGCGTCAGGTGGTCCACTAGGTTCATAAATCACTGGCGATTCGTTCGGTAGCCGGAAGAATCCGAGAGGAAATCTATTATTCAATCCAATCGTTTTCTTCAGCCACTCGTAATGCATTTTCCCTCTATTACCATATAGGTACTTCCAACATTATCGATTCAGTTGTGATTTCGTCTCGTTCAAATAAAAAAACAAGCCCCAGACTATCGCATTCTAGTAACAATATTGGAGGAGGATTCGGAGGTTTTAAACCTCGATGCAGGGATTTATTATTATTTTTCATCACAGCGTTTTTGTTTTTCAACGAAAAAATTTTTTTTTTTTCATGCTTTTATTCCATTCACATCAGCGGGCTCTCGACATCTGACACATCAACACGAACGATTGAATCGGCAAACAAAACTCCCACGAAAACTCCGTGTTCACTCCCCTGTGGGAATCCAATGCTGAATATCAGTCAATTCGAGGCAGAATGATACTCCGATACTGTGCGGGCGTGGAAATATTTTTCATCTTTTTCATTTTTGTCTTTTTTTTTTGAAAAAGGAAAAATCGAGTGATGAGGTTCACAGTGCGTCATAACTTATTTAAACCCTTCGTCGATGGTATCGCTTTTTGCGCCGGAATAAATTTACTCGTGATCGAAATGAAAATCAAATTTCCACATCAAGTTGGCAGTTTCACCTGTCCATGGGCCAATTAAATTTGAATAATTTGGGAGAGGGGAGGATTTTGAAATTTTTATACTCGATTGATTTTTCCATCTGCAGTTGTCGATTTAAAAAAAAACATTCAATTTCAATTTGAACGGAGGAACCGTAAAGTATGATAATAGTTTCGAGATTTCCCATGTGCCTCGCACGAGATTATTGTCTCCTTTTTTTTTTCAATTTCCATTATTCGTTTTTATCTCGGCCCTCAGTCACTCCGGGCGGGCGAGACTCGATGCACATGTCAGTGAAATTTTCCTTGTGTTATGGTGTCTCAGGGATGTACTCGGAAAATAATTGAAACTGCACCCTTAAAAAGAATTAATCCAAGCAAAAGAAGAACCTTAACAAAAACCTTTTAACCAACCCATGTACTTATTAAAAACGAAGCAGCTTCTGCATTTGCCTGAAGAATATCACTTCAATATGTAAAATCAATAATTTATCAATGGAGAACAAAATTTTAATTCGATTCATGAAAATATTCTGTTTATTCAAAATTAAAAAATAGTGTTACCACAAGGTAAACTGTAATAATGATTTGTTAATAATTAATGAACACTTTGTCTTGTCTATAAATTTTTCAATAATTTTCCGGCTGTATGTTGCTTTTCTGCTTTATTTCGAAAGGCAACAAATTAACCTGTCATTTCGATTCACAAAATAATTCAACTCCCACCAGAAAATA